ACAAATATTCAGCAATTGTCACAATGAAGAAAGAATACACATATCTAGCCATGGTGGAAAATGGATGGATGATTTCATGTACCTGTTAGGAAGGGTCTTCTGGATTATTTCCACGCAGCACTTGAAATCTCCATCTTCACTATCACTTTGCTCAAGAATGGCACCTGGAATATTCTCACCAAGTAATCTGAACAACACCCTCTTGTTCTTTCCTACTGTGATCAATAGACCATGGCCACACCAAATAGGGTCGCATTTGGCAATACTGGTACATGGGAAAGAAGAGTGTTTTGTCTCCTCAGATTTGTTCATCCTGGTGTAGATTACACAGATATAATCACCATACTGTCCACAGTCCACAATCACTTCGTTATCTTCTTCCAAGTTGGAATCAGTTTCCTCATGGAAGAACTCAATATTAGGCTCTTCACAAAATAAATCCCCAAGGGTAAATCTTCCATAGTATACAGTTTTGTTTTCAGTTTCCTTTTCCTCCCATACGATGGTTACATTTTGGATAGTCACAGCGTCATCATTGGCCACAGCACAGGCTGCAGACTCTATTGCCAAGACTGGAAGAATCACGTTCTGGTAATGTTCAATTCCTACATATTTGTCCATCAATGGACGTGCAGCCAGAGGATCTGAAAACATTTTGACTGGGTCCTCCCTATGTGACAAGCAGATTTTGAAGTGCGGAGTTATGCCAAGTAAACTCACAAAAGGTCTCAGTTTCCCCATCTCAACACATGAAGACATCAGGGTTTCCAACACATTTCCTGTTGTTAAGTGTAATGCCAATTTGCATTCTGGTAGGATGAGCGGTTTGCCGTGACTGCCCTTCTTGCTTGTCTGCTCAAGTATAGACATGTCTCCAGACACATAACTAGGATATGTTGCTTGTTTTCTATAATTGTACTCTTGTATGCTATGCAACGTACCTTTCAATTTTTCTGAAAACCAAAATGAAGTATTTTGCAATTTAATCCAACAGTCAATTGGCACTAAAACCTCACTTTGAAATGGATACAGTTTGAAATCCCTCTCCATTTTGGAAGGCAAAAATGTTGATTTGGCCGTCTCATATTCTTTGTTGTAAAGTCTCTTGGACCATTTGAAGCGTATATCATTGTATTGTCCACGAACTGGGACATCCATTAAACCCAGGGTTCTATAACTTATAGTGGAATACTTTCTTGGAAGGTAAGACATGGCTGGATTATTTAATGCTAAAGAAGACTCTTCAATTTTTGTGACAACTGGTGAGTACAATGCCTGGCCATTCTTTTGCAATTCCAGACTTATTTTCAAAATTTTACAGTCTTTGCTGAACATTTTTTCCCTGAGTGAATTCTCGTTGTACAACAAACAAATCTGCTGCATACTTTCGAAATTGTTGTATGAAGGTTCAGTTGGTTTTGTTTTTCCATCCAACATGTCACAGAGCAGACGTTGGACAATGAGGTCCATATATTTACGAATCGGTGAGGAGACCTGGGTGTAAATGGGGACATTCAAATCAAAGTGAGAATAGTCTGCATCAGAATCATTTGGGTCTGAGATGACATAGCGTGCTGGTCGTTGCACATCAAACCAAGCTGCCATGGCACAGAACTGCATTGGGTAGTCCTCCTCAGATGCAAGACAATTCTTCAGCTCTGACAGCCCTTCTGTGCTCTCCGCAAGACTGATCATCTTCTGCCAAGTTTGTTGTCTGACTGTAATGAACTCTGGCGAAGTTTGCGGTTCCTTCACATAATGACTCAGATAAGATGTTAGTTCTGCTATGGCACCATACTGGTTTTGCCAATCAGCTAGAGTTTCTTTATCTGGTGCAAAGTGCACTCGTAAAGGTACATATCTAAATGTTTTAGTCAGAATTTTTGCTATTGTTGCATTTGTCAAAATCATGAATTCTCCAATGATTCGCTCTGACATAGGTGACTCCTTGCCATCAGCATGCACAAATTTTGCAGCTTCTTTGAGACGATTGTGGCGTAAATGTTCTGCTGCTTTGTGCAGAAAGATTAAACTGTCTGTCAGATAACTGCCCATCTCTTTTTCAGAGTCCCTGAGAATGTCCTCTGAATCTTTGTATGACAACTGCCTTTTTGATCGTATGACTGTCCTTTTAATTTTTGGCGTACCAGGTAGGTCATCAATATTGCTGCCAATGGTGATGTTCCCATTTTTATCAAATTTGAAAAATACTGATATTGCAACTCTGTCCTTCCCCTCTAAGAGACTACAGAAGTTGGTGCTAAGTTCAGTAGGTAGCATATGGTATGGTTTCTCAGGGTGGCTTCTTTCGTCTGAATCTGGCATTTCTGCAGGATAAAAGGTTCTAGATCGTAAAGCTGCCTCTTGATCTATGGGATCCCCTGGTTCAACAAATGCCGACACATCAGCTATGTGAACTCCAACTCTCACAGTATCATCTTCACAAAAGTCCACTGATAGTGCATCGTCTAAGTCCTCGGAGTCCTTTGGGTCAATTGTAAAACAGTGGAGCTGCCTACAATCCTCTCTATTTGTGAAAAAGTCATCTGGAAGATGGGATGTTTTGGGTTCTTCATCTTCTGGAACTTTTTGAGATCTCTTTGAGAGACCTCTCATGAGGGCTCGCTTCTTTTTTTCAACATCTACTGGGAATTTCTGAGACAACTGGTATTGGATTTTCAATATCTCCTGGGCATTTGTGAAGTCAGTGCCAGCAGGTAAAACTTTTACAACATATCCAAGTGGATACTGGAAGACAGGGACCACTTCAAACACCTGACCACAAAAACCTTGCTGTCTCTCAGTCGGAGGTCTACTGGTTCCCATCTCTTGACATTTAGTCTCCCATCTTTGTCTGATGAATAAACTGCAATTCTGTTGTCAGTCCCTGTAGGGTTCATCACATGTATTTTAGGTACTGTCTTGTTTAAAGGTTTCATAAGATCTATTCTGAATTCATCAACTGTACATACAAACTTTGTAAACTTTCTGACTTTTACCTGACTCCATGTCCCTATTACTTTTCCATGGAAATCGGTGTCCAAGTTGATTTTGTCAGATGTTGGGGGATTATTGAGCCTTACAACAACCTCAGTTTTATCAAAAGCCATCCCACAGTTGCTTCTACCATAGAGATTTATCCTGGGAACTGGTTCATTTCTTTCAATGGGCACTGCAAACCCTTTCTGTGCACTCTCTATGTAAAGAGTACAGATCTTAAACTTGCTCGGCTCCCTTTTCAACATATCCATCAATTCAATCTTTGAAAGATGTTCATAATAGTTTTCTTTTTGGTCTATGCCTTTGACAAAGAAATCATAGAAATGTTCATTGAGATCCCTGACATCATCCTCATCTTCTGCCTCACCCTCATTCATTTCTTCATCATCTGCACCCCTGGCATATCTATGTGTCTGATACAACCATGAATCCAATTTCATATCATGTAGGGTATTGGTGCTATGTTCATCTTCAAGATATCCATCTCTCTCAAAATGGATTTCATCTTGGATATAAGATATTTCTTTACTGGAAACAAACTGTTCATCATCTTTCCATTGCTTTTCTAAATTTTTGAAGATTTCTTCATCACTTAATTCGTCATCTTTGTCTGAGTCTATTTCAGAGGTACATTCTGAATCGCCAGAACCAGTCACTGAACTGTAACCAGAATCTCTAGCAGTCGTATCTGTGCAGATGCTTTTGGCTGTTTCATGATGTTCTACAGTTTCCTTTCCATTTTCTGTGCCTCCCAGACGTTGGTAATCTTTACCAAGAATCTCTTCAACAATCTCACACCCAATATCTGGATACAATGAACTTTTTACCCTACATTCATCAATGTAGTGTTTCCATATAGTACGACATGATCCAATGCTACAAAGAGTGAAAGGATCCCCAACCACCAAAATGTGCCTCCTTGCTCTTCCCATGGCAGTATTGAGAAGACGACTGTTCTCCAAAAATCCCAAAGCACCACTAGAAGTTTCACCACTACAAGTTCGTACTGTACTCAGAATTATTGCATCAAACTCAAGACCTGTAATACAAAATGTTCCATGGTGAGACCCAACATGCTGGATGTCAAGTCAAAGTAATCTTACAGCTAGTAGAAATAATATTTCATATCTTATGTTAATCTTTTCAAAATAAGATCTAGAATAATCACCCTTTGACAGTTTGCCTGCAGATTATTTACACAAGACTTATACCATGAGATCAACTCTTGAAACAGAGAAAAAAAACTTTGTTCATAACCTAGTAGCAAAATGTTTCTAAGGTAAAATACTGCTGATTAATTTCAAATGCCTTACTAATATTGAATTCTATCAGGATGTCATATATTCAAATAGTACCCACAAAAAACACTTTTGACAGAAAATGAAACTACTTTAGAAGCTTACAAATCACCTTATGCAGTTCTGTGACTAAAGCACTGTTCTCAGAACTATGGTAGTTACTCAGACTCAGATCTTTTCAATGAGTGGAAGTGTAAATGTTACAGATATTGTATTTTTTTTAGTCATACGTAATGTCTTAAAATTAGAACATTCCTAATGAGAGGTAGCAACAAATTAAAAAGCAAGTTACTATATAGTTCTTTTCTATTAATTTTGTGATTTTAAAATTATGTACCTGAAAAATTGGTTATGTTCACCCATTGAAAAAAATTGAGGCATTGCTGTATACATGTATATCACATTTCTTTGAATTAGGTCATTCACTACTGTATAGTCATATTATTTGATAAATACCCTGAATGTTTTCAATGATTTCTGTCTTGACAGCACCTAGTCCTTTCTCTTCCAGCATTTCTGACATAACTAGCATCTGAAAATAAAAATGAGACAAAACATGTTTCTTTCTTTCTTTTTTAAGCAAAATCTAATGCTGAAACAGGTCAATAAACTGGTACTGAATACATTAAAAACTCCAAGACTACAAGTTCAGAATTTCAACAACCTAATCAAGCCCTTTGAAAATGTGTTGTAGAAGAATCTAATATTGCACCAATCAACTTGAGGCATTTCCACTGTATTGCCCAAAATTGAACTGTAATTGCCAGTCAGTAATTACTAGGATCAACAAACAGTTATTGTGAGTTGGACCAAGAAACAATTGTGATATATTCTAAAATATACATGTAGCTTCTGGACTGAAAAAAACATTGTTAACCTGTATTAAACATCACTGATTATACAACTAAGGAAACAAAATCATACACATATTACATTATTACCTGCCCTTCATAGGGAGTTACAACAGCCATGTTGGATGGTTTAATTTTACCATTCTCAATAAGGTACTGGACTCGCATCATCACTTCTTTGGCCTCAGGTATGTTGTAGTAGGACGCTCCAGACCTTTTCTCCTCACCTCTTGTCACCCAAAATGAGAGAGGAGGAACACCTTTATCTGATCCAATTTCTGCAGCACAATGAAGATGACCTTGATAAAATGTCTGCCCAAGAAATTGCGAAATTTCTGGTGTACTTCGATAATTAATTGTGAGATGAAACACATGTTGGTTGCCACTCTTTGCAGTTGCTGCTGCTTCTGGAGCTTTTTCTTTCATTTGCTTTAGGTTGAGGTGAAAGAGACGTTGTAGCAGGGACATTTCAAAATGCTGGTCCTTTGCAACTCTGCTGTATATTTTTGGAAGTAGTTGTCTATTGTCTCCAGCTAATACAACAACAGTTTTGGGATCAGCAAGTGAAAGAGGCATAACCAATTCAGGCTCTAATGCTTGTCCTGCTTCATCGATGAAAATGTGGGTAAAAACCGGTGCCTTTGAAGGTCCAAACTTTAACAGCATGGATGCAGACAGTGTTGTTATTATAATCCTATGTCTATCAAGCTGTTTTTGCGATGGCCTGGTACAAACTGAGTACTTGACATCCTTGTAACCCTTCTCTTTCTCTATTCCATATATTCTCAGAGGATGGTCACGTTTGCTTGCTTGTTTGGAGTGTTCCATCAGTTTGTGTTCAATAAAAGACACATACAGATCTGCAGCACTGGAGAAAAAAGGCAAAATCATAGTAAGAAAAATATAAGCCTGAAACTAGTATTCTTTAAAACTATATATCACTATTATTAATTTATGAATATAATTTAGATATTTGGTACTTTAACTGTCTCATTAACTTTAGTTCAGGATTTTCCTAGGGATTTATTTTTGTAATATTCCAGTATCAATGGCTAAACAAAGTAAATTACTGACAATTTTGTTTTCCACTATTCATCTTTATACTGTAACATGTATAAAAAGAAAAATGGCTGAATTAGGCAAATCTACAACAAAAGTCAAAACAAAACTGCAGATAGTTTTGCACCTGAAATTTTGCCCGTCTTCTACTGTAATGAGAAAAGTACTCATAAATATTACAAGATATAAAATTAAATACCTATCGAACTTGCAGCATATCAGGACTCTTTTTGAAGTATCTTTCATCAGCAGTGCCACTGCTTCTTTCAGAATATATGTTTTGCCAGTTCCAAATGCACCAAGAATAATGGTAGGTGGAATCTGCAAATCCCCCACTGGTTCAGAAAGTATATTTTTTAATATATCTAACTTTTTCTCTTCCAGACCATGTATCCTATAAATTGACAAAAATAAATAAATAAATAAATAAATAAATAAATAAACTAGACAGCAAAGCTGGCAAATATATAGACATCATGCAGGAAAATAAGCAGCAAACCTGACAAAAGGTCAGACATTATGCCAAAAAACGTTCACCACAATGTTTTGGCCAATTTTGATGCACTGTTACATAATTCATCAAAACAGCATAATCAACTTTACTCTCTTAAAGGTACATACGAACCGAGCATCGGTGGAGCGTGGATTCCCAGTAACACATGTAAACCACTTCTACTAGATTCTTATATGACTCAAATAAATTCGACATGCCAAGGGATAAACTGAATAGATCACTCGATCAGCCATAAAAGACCTTTAGACTGCTCCTTTCTTTAAATTTGTGGTTGTAAATTTAACCTACTTTCGTGATCTACTTTCCTGCCCCATTGACATACAGCTTAGAATGCCAGCAGAAAAATCCGTTCAAACATCATTTTCGGGTAAAATTAAACAATGCCTTTTGGTAATTCTCTTAGTTATACTACTTGAAACTATATGCTGGCATTTGGTTGGTTTTTGTGACAAAAAATTGACTTTGTATGCATCTTTAAATTATGCACTACAGGTAACATGGACATTGAAAAACCAGCAAGTTATTGGTTCCACAGGAAATAAAAGCCATTGAAAATGCTAGTGTGAAAAATAAATAAATAAATAAATAAATAAATAAATAAATAAATATATAGAATAATTACCATAAATGTAAACCAATCATACTGATTTTTTGCTGCATCCTGCCTCTTTAACAAGTAAAGCCACTCAGTAAATTTAAAGAAAAGTGAAAATACGGTTTGGCAGTTATGGAGCGAACATCACCAAAATTGTGCAAAAAAAAAAAAAAACAGAATAATTACCATTGTGTCCATTATCCAAAGCAACCTGCTTCTTTGCCAAACAAAGCCACTCAATTAATTTAAAGTAAAGTGAAAATACGGTTTGGATGTTACAGGACAAATGTCACCAAAATTGTGCAAAAAACCACAATAGTTACTGTTAATGTAAACTGATCATGCCAATTTTTGAATGCAACCTGCCTCTTTAGCAAACAAAGCCACTTAGTAAATTTAAAGTGAAGAAAAATACAGTTTGGCAGTTATGGGGTGAAAGTCATGTGTCAGACAATGACAGCAACGGCACGGACAGACAGACCAATCAGAATACATACAGACACTTATTGTGTCTGTACATAATAAAATGTAAACTGTTCACTGAAATTTCCTACATTAACAAATGTAATCACAATAACAAAATGATACACAGCCACATGTCCATACAAATTTGAAATTTATGTTATAAAATAAATTTGCAATGGTGCAATTTTTATTATAAAAAGTGATTTTGACAGAACAATTAGCGTTAAAAATTATTTATTAATAATATAAAGAGAGATTGAAGAAACTAGCAAACAACCCCATGTTTTTTTTCAAAGAAAATGCAAACAAAACATTCATCATAATATGGGCCATTCCGTGGTATTTGGTCCGCAGACCTCAAAATTTCAAAAAGGAATCCTACTTATAAAACGTATAATTTCTGAAACCAGACATCATAAGACACCAGAATCCAAAAGAAATTTTAGGTTTTGATGATTAATTATGATTTTATTGACACTTTTATCTGGAAAACTTATAAAATAGTGTCACGGAAGGACATTTTTATTTTTGATATATTTTTCATAATAGAGATCATTTTAAACAATAAAGGCTAAATACATTAAATATAACCTATTTCTTACATTGAGTCAGGTGCATTAGATTAAAAAAATATTTAATTATAAAATAATGGATTAATCAAAATCAATTTGTCCTTCCGAGATGATTTTGGTACCTATTTTTTAAGTTTTCTCAGTAACTACAAAAGTTAAAAACTTATAACTTCATATTCTCCTCAACCATGAAAGGGGCCAACAAAATATGAAATTATTTTTGCTTAGAACCACTTCAGTAAGAAATTAAATCCAAATATATAAGCATTAAACATGACACCTAGCACAGTGGAAGCACGTATGAGGCATTTTGATTGGACCATAACAGGTCATGTGACCAATGAGCCCCAAAACCCTT